AGTGAAAAACACATGAGCTGGCTAGCTATAAAAAGGAGACAAACGTGACTTTCTTCTTCCACTACTAACATGCCTGTAAGACAGTTTGTGTGTATGCTGTAGTGATGCAATTATCAGAACATAAAAGCTGCTGCAATGTTTTTTCTAAAAAATAGTGCATTTCATCTGATAGCATGAAGCTGATTAAAAAAAAAATTCAAAGTTAAATTCATACCAGATACAAATGAGCAGAGGATAGCTTACGAGCAAAAAGGATAGTTTATTTTAACTAATACTCATTACTGTTGGGGCAACCATAATAGCTCATTAATTTTAAGCGAGATGGGATGGTACCACGTAACCCATTCAAATGAATGTTAAAAGCCTCTTCTCTATTCCTTCCACCCACACTTCAACTATGTAATTACTACATATGAAAGAGGAAAGTCCAATTTTTTTTTGTAAATGCGGAAGTTAAAAATGTTGCTTACGAAAAACATGCGATCATCAAGAAAAACAAAAGTAGTATGTCTAAAAATAAAAAATTATCTCCAAAGCACATTAAAGTACATACTTAAAACATCATTATGAGAACTTACGTCGTCTTTAAATTGTGTACCACAGATAAACTACACTCAAGCAGTACAGGATTGTAGTGAACGTTTTAAGTTAAGTCAAATCAGTGAACTGGCTGAAATTCCTCATCATTACATGCATGGAACGTGATCTTGCTAAAATGCTAAACCAGCATTAGACAGCCTCAACACCCTTCTCTGACAAAAGAGTGTTTTACTTCAATATAGTCAGATAGAACACCTGGTGACACAAGGTACAGTTTAATAAGTATTTCTTTCATGGGCAGCACTGGCTTAAGCAACTTACTCAGAGATGTGAATTCTGCACAAGAGTAGGCCAAAGACCTGGGCATTTTTACCCTAGGTCTACTCCTCAACTCGCCTCTCGGTGTATTACCATTGATTAGCATGTTACCTCTCCAGCTGCAACAAGCAGCAGGCACCGATTCAAACAGTACTGGCACTGAATTAAATGCTCCAGTGGCGTAATTCACAGGTGGGTTGTTTTGGTTTGGTTTTTTGTGGTTTTGGGGGAGGGTTTTTTTTTTGGGGGGGGTTTTTTTTCTTTCCACAGATTAACTATAAGCAGATAATGGAATTTTTTTGAAAAAATAGAAAAGAAAAAAGAAAAATTTATTTTCAATATTTTAAAGAAAGATGAAAGTATTAAAAAATAAGTCAAAATTAAGAAAATCAAGTTTAGTTCAGAAGAGTAGAGGTCTACAAAGCATAAGAGCGTAAGATTCCAGGTTCGTACACAAGATTGTTTCAAAGCTATGAAGAAAAAAATTCACAAAATTATACTATTTTCTCCTTTCTGTTGGACAAGAATCCTTTTAGTCAAAAACTTCTTACTTTACTGTCTGAAATTAATGGCAAAATAGCAAACTAGGAGTTAAAGTAAAAACATTTTAATGCAGATACTCATATGTCTCATATCATGGAACGTGAAGGTGAAGTTTAACTCTGTAAGTTAAGTTAATTTAACAACCAGCTATCACTGGAAATAGTGGTCCTGACTCTGTTACTTCCCCTGAGCTACCGCTGCTGCCTAGATAATTGGGCAGGGGCCAATTTAAGAAACTCAAACCCAGTTGACTCCTGAGGACGTACATGAAACAGTGGGAAGAGGTGTCCTAGGGTTTTTAATGGGAACTGACTTTAGATCAATCCAAATATGGTGCCTTACTCCTCACAGAAAAGTTTCAATAATTTGTGATAGCATAAAGATTTTGTCCTTTGAGGACTACTAATATGATTAATTTACAGGGCTCAGGCATTACTCTGCTTAAGAGTGCGAGAGCCTCTTCAATCCTGCATAATTTGACAAAAATGTAAGTAAAGACCCATTGAATTAAATTCTGATTTAAGGACATCCGTGGTTATTTCAATACCCATTATACCACCCACTTAACGAAAAATGTATTTATATTGTGTCAAATTCACTTTAAGATTACCAAACATACCACTGACACAAAAATAACTTTCTTTTTTAAATAATGTTTTAAATACCCTTTTTACCATGCAACCTATCCTACCCATATAACTATTTATCACGATACCCCTCCTACCTATGCAACTATTTCATACAAAGCATTCAGTTCCATTCATATGTTAAGGAACGGAAGTGGAGGCTAAACGAGAAGAACTGAGAATTAAATCAAATTACCCCAACTACCCGTTTCAATGCTATTCTCCACAGTAACACACCGTAATCTGAAAGAAATTTCTCTTCTGCTGTAATTTACAAACAATGCCTAGACCATGTACTTCAAGTTCTTGCTGCAAAACCGTATGGCCTCAGAGAAAAAGGCAGTTTCACTAAAAAGTGCTCGGAAAAGTCAGAAAAAATTATCAGGAAAAAGTTGCTGATAGTATTTTGTTTCCTCTGTTAGCAAAACATGTTTTAACTATTTAACAAACTACAGCAATATTCAACAAGGGTAAAAACCAAGTTTTTGGTGCAAGTCACGCACGGCCAAGCCTACACAGTATAACCTCCATATCCCAACCCTCACCCTGCAGGCAGGGCTAATAAGACCTATCCCACTTTCGTAAGTAGAGCGTCACATTCTTGTAATGGGAATGAAGTCTGAAACTAACTGCAATAAAATTTCAGCAACTAAACTGACTTAGTAGACAACATGCAAGTATTTAACACACCAGCACTCAAGCTCCACAAGGTACAGAAGGGATACGTTGCAGCTGCAGTGTTTGCAAAGTAAAAAGTAGGCATAGCTCATCTTCTATGAAGTTGAAACATATCAACAGGATAAAATACACAGACAAATCAATGGATGAACAAAGCACTAAAAAAAAAGCTGTCATCTTTGAGACATGAGGTGTCTCAAAGTGATATGTGAAATGTTTTTATTTAGGCACTTAAACTGTTTTTACTGCTTTCTCTCACATAATACAATGTGCAAGATTCAAAACTGCAGGCATGCAGTTTTTCCCAATGTACACACATAAGTATAGGCACTAAGAAAATAAAGAATTAAACTGAAAAATAAAGTTTGCACTGTATATATTCACCAAGAGTCCAAAGACCAGCTGAATGAACTCTGAATAACATGCCTCGCTTCTTTTTTTTCCTCTTTAAAAGCCCTTGAAGATGGTCTCAAATTTGTCACTCAAGTGAACAAACTTTACTTCTTTTCTTAAAACAAACAAGAAAATCTCCAAAAACACTGCTAAGCCTGTTTAAGCTAAGATCATAGCAAGACACACACCAAAAGCCCAGTACTCTAATCATTAAAACTTGTTGCTGAATATTCTTCTTGAATTCAGGATTAATGAGGCACTGGCTACTATAGAAGTGCCCTATTCACAGTATGACCAAAGTAACAGAACTTAATATTAAAAAAACCCAAAACTACACAATTAAAATTTTAGTTCTCTGAGATTACATGTAGCCAAACCATACTGGAGCCCCAAAATTTCAGCTTGATCCTCATCAGAAAACTATTTTCATTTCAGCATATAGGAATAGATATATGACATCCATGATGCACAAAGCCAGATATGGGGGGTAAAAAAAAAACCCACCAAACAAAAAACCCAAAAAACCCACACACCTACTTGAATTCAACCTGATTGTAGAACTGTTACATACTTCAGTAGTATACACACACAATACATATAGGGAGAATGAAAGTTTTTGTGATTTATATTAAACTTTGATAAATTAAATGTTCCATTATATTGTATTGAAATTTTATTCAGTACATCTTACTGTTATCTCCTCTTTTTATACCTAAGCTTCACTCCAAGTCATTTTTTTCCATTTTCAGAGACTTTGACCAGAAGGAATCATCAGGATGATCTAGTCTGGCCTCCAATATATCATAGGCCATTACTTTTCAACAGAAAAAGAATTGCTCTAACAGTAACCATGACAAATTGGTTTAGAGCGTATCCAAGGTCATCATAATTTGACTCTGTTAATACATGGATTCTTCACATTTTGAAGAGAATTCTAAATCACTCAAAATCTGATTTAAAAAAATTCTTAGCTTTGAGGCACAGACATTCCAAGGGCTAAATGGTAAATTCTTCTTACTTTCTTTCACAGTAAATTTTGATTTTTTTATCCCTTTGAGAATCACATTCTCCTCTCAACTGTCCAGATGGCTAAGAAAAGGCAGAGGGGGGATAAAACATCAATATCACCACTGTCTACTTTAAAATCTTATGTAGTTGTGCTCAGTGTTATCTCAGTAGACAGAATACTTCAAATACCAGATGCACGCAAGTACATTGTTATGCAGCTAGAAGGTAGAAGTACAAATATGAGACATGCTCTATAGGTCCCAACCATAAATAAAATATTGTTCACATTTTCAGTGGTTAAGTTGCTGATCCTATATAGGCAAGATCTGAGCCTGCTGGAAAT